GGCCTTTAGGTAAGCATTGTAGGAGACTTCTCAAATGAGGAGATTGAATCTTGCATTCTTGATTACCTAGGAACAGTAAGAGCAGAAAGAGATTCTGATAAAGAGCAGGAATTGAACCCAATTATATTTCGGCCATCACCATCTGAACTGCAGTTTCAACAAGTAAGGGAAGCTGGATTTCCTGTTGCAAACTTTTGATAGCCTTCTGTGAATCCACTCTGAAGTGTGTCTGAAGAGTGGGCTTTTCTTTTTCATGTTCTTCTTTTTGCCTAGTTTTGTTAAATGTCTGAAGGTAATGTTGGGTGGTTTTAGTTTCGTGCATCAACTGGTTGTGCACTGATTTATCTGCTCCAAACAGGTATTCTTGAAGGACACCGATGAGAGAGCGTGTGCATACATTGCAGGTCCTGCACCCAATCGCTGGGGTTTTACAGTTGATGGTAGAGATCTATTTGAGTCAACTGGTGATAATTCCACAAGTGATGGTAAGTTTCTTTGTGATAGTCTATGAAAGGGATTATACCTGTTACTGTCTTTGTTACAGGTCTATGAAAGGGGACTACAAAACGGGTGCTTCCCTTGTTTAACATGTATAGATTTGCTGGGTGTTTGATTGACTTTAGGATCATAACTTGATTTTCAGTAAAGCTTTGTTTCTGCCAATATTGATCTAAATTGAAATAAGCTGCTTTCCAATGATTGGTGATTGTTTAGAAGGCATAAATAGCATTGTTCCACTTCTTTACCAAATTTTGCTTTTAGAAGTTGGTTCTTGAATCATTGTTTTGAGATTTGAACTCTAGTTGCTAGCTGCTTATGGGTCAAATGATTGGCATTCAGGTAGAATACATGAACTGACATTAATTCCACCTTTTTTTATTGGAACATTAAATTCATTTATCTAAAGAATACTGTTTCTGGATGTCGGTTGTTGAACTTTTCTCGTGAAATTGGAGTCTAGTTGGTAGCTGCAAACTTAAGTACTATCCAGTTAAGACTTATGAAGTCTAGTTGCTGGCTGCAACTCATTGGTGGGATATGGCTTTCAGATGCACAATCAAAGTCCGGTGATCTGCTGATGGAGAGAAACAGTGTTGAGAAGAATCTTCCAAGAAAACTTCGGGCTCACCCGCTTTTCTTTGGTGTTACTATGGGGCTGCTAGCTGAGATCATAAATTCTAGGTAATTCTGCCCGCTTAACTGCACTTTCCTAGCTTTTTTGGCAGGTAAATATGTTCCTTAGGTGCCCATTCCTTTATGGTTAGTTGTTTCTGCATCATTCAATGCTTTGCACCATGTGATGATTCAATCAATTTGACCAGAGAATAATAAGAACCAACTATTATCTTTTATTATAAATTTATTAGCGCCTTTATTTCATTTTATTTTTTTTCGAAATCAGAGTCTTGAAACTATACTGTTTTTCTGCTCTGACTATATATATTCTCATTTCCAGTTAGTATCTTGTATTTACAAATGTCTTAGGTCTATTTGGCCTGCAACTAAGAAATTTCCTTTATTGGCAGGCTTTTTACAACAGTCAGAGACTCTCTTGGACTAACATATGATGTGTCATTCGAATAAACTTGTTCGATAGGCTCAATTTTGGATGGTATGTCATATCTGTGACATCCACTCCAGGCAAGGTGCATCCAATCTCCACTTATCAACATTCAGTATGCCTTATAATTTCTTACTTTTTTCACCAGCTTTGTGTCTAATGAACATCCAGGTGTATAAAGCTGTTGATGCTTGCAAGAACGTTCTTAGAGGTTTGCATAGCAACAAGATCGCCCAAAGGGAGTTAGACAGGGTTAGTTTAAACAATTATCTGAATATTCTTTATGCTAGGATTGTTCAAAGTTAATTTGCCTACCTTGTGCTTGTTCTTGGAATGATCTTCCTCCCTCATGTTTTATGATCCACAGGCAAAGCGGACCCTTCTTATGAGGCACGAGGCTGAAATTAAGTCAAATGCCTATTGGCTTGGTTTGTTAGCTCACTTGCAAGCTGTTTCTGTTCCAAGGAAGGTAATTTTATTTTCCTTACAGTTTCTTCAATTTAACTTTTTACTTTCCTATGATAATTCTCTCATTAAATACATCTTTATGTCTTTTCTGATGGCTGTGGATTTTAGGATATATCATGCATTAAAGATCTCACTTCACTTTATGAAGCTGCCTCTATCGAGGACATATACCTTGCGTATGAACAGTTAAAAGTAGATGAAGATTCTTTGTATTCATGTATTGGGATTGCCGGGGCTCAGGCTGGAGAAGAAACTGCCGGTAAGGAAAAATCTTTTGGTGAAAGAGCTTTTCCAGGAAAATGCAAAGTGTTTAATGAACCATCAATAATAGTTCTTGTGGAGGACTAAATGAAACTTATCCGATGATCCACATTTACTTGGGCCCTTTGTGGCATTCAATATCCCTTCTCATCCTCCCAATGCCTTTGATTTTGTTTGTGGATTGGGGGAGAAAGGGGGTATCCTTCAGGCTGCCTTTTCCGTCATGGTATAGACCTTTTTATCCATTTTATTAAGATCCAATTTAAATTTGCAGCTGCATTGGAAGAGGAAGAACCAGAAGGTTTTCAGGGAGTTATTCCTGTGGGGCGAGGTTTATCCACAATGACACGGCCAACAACCTGAGCATTCATGCTTTCGCTATAGTGTATATTGAAGGAAAGCATTAGAAGGTATGTGTGCTTACTAGTTTCCTTTTCTTCAGTAGAAAATGAAAAGAATTTTCAAATGCTGTTAAGAGAGCACTTACAAGAGTACATGATATCTATTTACAAGACATAGTATCCACACAATCCTTAAGCTTTCCTTCGTAAGTTACAGTAATTCAGCATAGGCTAAAGGCTTGAAGCCAGTGTCCCTGATTCTGTGGAGAGGCAATCTACTCGTTAGGAGCCCATTTGTCTCCCTTCCTCTTAGTTAATTGGAAGATAGGTATTTTAGTTTAAATTAACAAGAACTAAAGGAGCATGTACCCTATCCTCAGGAAAAACAAAAGTTCTGAAGAATCAATGAGGACTTATTCCTCTTCCAAATCCCCACAATTTTGTGCCAGCCCAAATCAAGTTATTGTTTTCACAATTATCTGTTGGATGTGTTCCTTTTATTTGTACAAGAAATTTTTGTTAAACAGTATACTGGACCTGTTTTGCATCTACCGGAAAACTGAGATTGAAAGTTGTTTGGAGTTACTCATTAGGATTTTCAACCTAGATGGAGGACAAAATCCTTTCCATTGCACTTACAATCCTTATAATTTAATACCTATTTTGTAGCTCTATAGTGTTTCACTTTATGCTTCTATCTATTATCTGAAGTACCAAAAATAGATGTTAAGTCCGATAAGGTTACTAAGAAATATTTCCTTGTAGGTGGGGCAAGTTCTACTCTCTGCCAGTTTGAAAGCAAATGAGGTGCACAATTGCATGCGCGTGTTTGTGCATTGTGCATCAATAGATTTTAGGATATTTCATTGTCATAATTTTCGCCCTTTTTAATGGGTGCATGCTTAAGTTACCATAGGTGCACATCTTTATAACTCAGGACCAGGGTTTTTTTGTTTCACTTATCATAATTGAAAATTTGGTCTAGTTTTGTGATAAAAAAAACCTTGAGATATTTTTATACATTGAGAGGAGATTTTTCCAATCAAACTATTACCTGTCTCTTCTGGGATTTTCGTGCTAATTACTTGTGGAATTCTTAATGTAGGTCAGTTAACAAGATTGCATGGCCGGTTGGGGGCAAGTTCCATAGTGTTTTTGAGAAAAAGTATATGGAGTTGCTTCAATGCACACGAGACAAGACTGAAGTGTTGGCTGATGGAGTGATTTATTTGATCTTCATCACCTCTGCTTCGCTCATTATAGCCTAGAAGCTTGTTTAAATGTATTCCTAATAGTGTTGATTCTATTTCTGCTGTCACAGGCATTGGAAATTTTCTTTGGGAACTCAGAAATATAGTGAAAAAATGCAAAGTATACAGATGTTGAACTAGGGGATTTTGGCTGGATCAAGTATGTGTGTGTCATTTAGCAGCTGCCAGTTGCCTATATGTAAATTACCTATTTTCAATTAACGATTTATTTGAGGCAATCTGGTTCAACCCATCTAAAATCATGTTTCACCCGCATTCTTTTATTTCGGACAGGTCTCCAGAGGACAGGACATTTCATTTTAGTTTGGTCATTTTTCACTGAGAGGTTTTTGCGGGCTTAAATTGATCGGAGTATCCTTGTAACTTACCATAACAATTTTTTCGTGGACAAGATGTCAAAGATCATTTGACAATCACAGTAGTTTAACAAACCAGATTATTGCTGGAAGATCAAACTCAATAAAAAAGTTAGGATTTACAAGATACAATTTTTTTTTTTGGGTGGAGAAGAACAAAATATAAGCTAAAATTTTGAGTTGTATGTAAAATTTGAGGTTTACAACAGAAGAGTTTAGTGATAACATGTAGTTTGCGGAGCACTTGGCGCACTTTTAGAATATGATGAATATAAATTTGTAGAGAGTAAAAGTGTACGCTAATAACTCAAGGTACTTTCTCCATGTAATTTATATTTACTTTTTAGCTATCCTCAATTGTTTATAAAATGAAAACATTTTAAATCATCGAATAAATTTTAGTTAACAATTTAATTTACAGATCTTAAATTTTCAAAATTAAAAGAAATTATATTTTTTAAAAAAATAGTCATATTTAACAAATAGAAAATCCACAGTCAGTGTGAACAACCATGTCATAATTCAGCAACAGCTACGCCTGTCAATAGCGGAAACCCCATGCAAGGGGAAAATAGCAACCATGCATCAACGTGGAAAGACAAAATAGTCTCTGGGTCTGCACAAGCACAAGATGCTAATGAAGGTGACATAGAGATGGAGGAAACAACGCTTGCCCCATTTCCCCAGGCACTAGATGATGAGGATGACGAGGTGGAGAATGATTTGTGCCTGCCATCTGGCTAACAGCAGAAGAAAAGGTACAGCTTTGGAAGCCATGGCGAAGAACACTCGAAATGAAACTTTTGGGGAAGCGTATACGCTCTAAACATGGACGACTACATTTGATTTGCTTCAAGTGTGGTCTCTATGGGCATGGTACTGATAATTGTACTAAAAACCTTCCTGTTTTGGTACAGGTGCGATCGATGAAACGCCGGCGAATTCTGGGGTGCGACAACTGAAGGAGGCAGATCAATGCAGCCCATGGATGATGGTACAAAAGAAAAAAAAAAAAAAAAAAGAAACCCGAGAATTCAGCACCAATCTATCAAAGAAGATTCTTTCGAGGAGGATTAGGGAACTTCAAAAATGACCAAGATACGCACGCGAAGGCGTCTAATCTCACATGCATGCGCCCATTAAAGGGAACTCGCACGGACATGGTGAACAGAATATTAGGAAGCAGCAAAAAAGTAAAGTTGAGGACGCCCTTAATAACAGCGCAACAGAAAAGCAAGGAATGGAGGGAATCAAGAGATCCAGATTCTCGGCTCTTCTAATTGAAGAATGAGAGGGGAAAGTCAACCAGAAGGTAGAATCCAACCTTCCCAAACCATAGCCTATGTCAAAAAAGAAAAGGGATAATTATGGAATGGAGCTGATTTGGTAATCGAAATTGCAAGAGAATATTAAGGAAGACAGGATGAATGACAATATTGAGGAGATCGGGAAATCCCATCTGCCCTAGACGTCAACAAATTGCTCGGTAATGAAGAAGCTATCACACTGACTTATGGGATCTCGTAGGGAGTGAGAACAGAGGGGAAAAAAACGAAAGCAAACGAAGAGTAAAATGTCAAAAGTTGAAGAAAACACTGTCGGCCAAGCAACCCCACAACGGGCGAGAAAAAAATAGAAGATATGGGCTCAATCTAAAAACTAATAAAATTCTCCTGGCCCAAATTGAAGCTATGGTGAAGAAGAAACAGAGGGGCCCGACGGACTACATCAATGCTGGGCGGCTGTTGTAACATCTAACCCAGCCCATCGCTGCTGCAGGCGCTTACATTTGAAGCACGAAGGCTTCCACGGTTAGCCTAGCTCTCGTCCCTGTTGGTCATATTAATGCCGACATGCAAATGCATACACAGGTGTGATTGCTCTAACACGCACCTGGTTTTATTTTGCCTTTATTTGATGATGATGTGGTTCTTTTTCATGCAGTTATACTTATTTATTTATAATTATGCCATCGACTATTATTTCTTGGAACAATAGAGGGGCTGCTAGTAGACTTTTTCAAGTCCTTGTAAATAATACTATCAGCATACACGCTGAATATTATTTTTATTTTGGAACTCTGCATATCCGGACTCAAAGCAGATGACATTATTAACCAGCATGGGTGATTGGTGTTCTGTCCGCTCTAAAGCTATTGGCTTCTCTGGTGGAATTTTGGGTTCTTTAGATACATTCTATTGATCTCCAAGTAACCGAGTCACGTGATAGTCTTTACATTGCAAGATACATTTGGGTTCCACCATCTGCCGTGCTAGCCTACATGAAACTAAATGAAGAGTTCTTTCCTATTATTGGCTACTATTGCCATTAATATGATGGATCATTGGATCCTCCTTGGGGATTTTAATGATATTGCAACTATTGAGGATCAATGGGGAGGGGGTGGTGGGGGCGACCAACTACTTTTGTCGTGTAAAGAAATTTCACTCGCACATTGACTCATATGGACTGGTTGAGGCTTTCAGGGGCCTATATTTACTTAGATTAGGGGGCATACTAAAGTTTGTCTACATAAAACCTACTCTTAACATTAGTAATCGCATTTTATTTAATTAGACTTTTATCATTAATATTGTTTGCTGTTGCTCTGACTATAATCCTACCAAAATCTTCTTAGATAACTGAGTAGTCCATTAACAAGATAAACTAGACACTCATATATTTAGCTACCTGGGAGACTCATCTTGAGTCCAGAAATTTTATTAGTAAGACTTCAAACAACGATGAGGACACTGTGATGACTATCTCCGATTTCATGGACAAGGCCAAAAAATTAAACGACCAAACATTTTGCAACATCTTCCCAGACAAGTCTCGACTTTATTCTCATATCCTTGGGATCCAAAAGGCCTTTTACATCAGGACTGATCCCGTCTAGCCCATCTTGAGCAACAATTAAGAACCCAACTCTTTGATATCCTCGTTAGAGAAGAATTATTTTGTTCTAAGAAGCTCGCACCAGATGAATCTCCCATGGAAATTGCAACAAGACTTATTATCTCAAGACTTCTTTCGTAAAACGTAGCACTTATTGAATCACTAGTCTCAAAGATGTTGAGGAAACCTAGTTTGTGAAGCCCACACGTTCTATGGTAAACTCCATGGGGGAGGAGGTCTACCATCCCCACACTAAATCAAAGCTCTAGCCTGCCCCAAAACAATGTTGAGTGCGATTGGGAGATAAGGAAACCTGTCGAGGATGAGGAGATCATCACCGCCTTTAATTTGATAAGCATTTTCAAAACCCGATGCATAATGAGCTTTGTGTCGCTTTTTACCAGAAACACTAGGATATGATGGACCCAAGTATTAAAAGATCTATAAAATGGGTGTTAGAGGAACAACTACAGATTAACCAAGTGAATGACACCCTCTGCACCCTATCCAAGAAGCTTAATGCTGCGTCTTTCAGTGATTTTGTCCTATTAGCCTTTGCAATGCTATTTACAAAATTATTACTAAAGCGAGAAGGCAAACTATGGATAACATTATCAGCATAGAAGGCAATACAATCATGCAACACAAGAAGGGTCGTAAAGAGTTATATGGTCATTAAGACTAATCTCAAAAAAACATATGATAAGGTTCACTAGGAGTTTATTAAAGATACACTTACTCCAATGGATTTTTTTTTTCCCAGAGTGGATCAACACAATCCTGCGTTGTATCTGATCACCATCCATGCAAATCCTTATCAATACGGATACCAATTTTCCCCTTCGGAAAATTTGTTAGGGGGACCTTCTCCCTCCTTACATCTTTGTTCTTTACGTTGCGAAATTGAGCCAAATAATCCATCATGGAGTTGAGCAAAAATCTTGAAAGCCATTCGAATAAGCATAGTTGGCCCTAAACTCTCTCATCCCTTCTTTGCTGACAAATTGATCCTATTAACTGAAGCCTCCTAATGTCAACTCGTAATAATCAAAACTTGTATGAATAGATTATGCAGGGCAAAAAATATAGCAATTTCCCATAATCTGAGTAAGGCGTGCACCCTTCTCCTCACAAATGATCTCAGTAAATATCCAGGGGTCCTGATCCTACATACTACGACCATGAGAGCTACTACACAATAATTATTAAGAAAGTTCTAAGAAGGCTTGTTGGGTGATAAATCCCTCACCTGTTCATGGTGAGTAGGAGTACATGTGAATGCTCAGTCATGTCCATTCTATTGTCTAATGCTATACAATCAACCTTACTTCCCTCTCCGACTCTCAATTATGCAAACAAACTCAATAGAGATTTTATTTGGCTTTCTCGGGTGGGTCAACATAAAGTCGACCTTGTGAAGTGGCATACAACAGTCAACCAAATGAGGCTGATGGCCTTGGGACAACCACAGAGCTAAATCTTTGCCCACTACTAACTCCGGTGACTTGATGCTAATTTCTCATTAAGCATCAATATCAAAAGTCTGTTTTGAATAAATCAACAATACAGAAAAGATAAATCTGGATATTAGTACAACGTCACTTTAGATTTTTCCACCAATAACATGTCATACCTCAAAGAAAACAATCAGATGCAGCTATATTGATCATAATACATTACATTTTAAGTAACAGTGCATCCATCTACCAAATATATATATATATATATATATAATTGATGCATCACATACAACTTCCAGAGAAGCACAAAGTTAGGATCATAGTAAATACACTCAGCAACCAAAGATCAGGTACACAAACCTGAAGGGCAAAGATGGAGGAGCAGGAAAGAACTGGTTAGGTCAAAGTTAAAGATGATTCCACCTATCACAGCAGAATCCAAGCCCAAGCGTGTGACAAAGGAAAAGTGCAAATTAATGCATGTGAGAAACAAGACAACTTCCTGCCCTAACTTCTAGTCATGCCATGCAAAATCTCCTCTGCCTTCTCTTGATCTTTTTCCCCTCCGATAGTCGATCTCTGCATCAGAACATGACAAACCAAGATGGTATTTTCTATCGAGCCTGGATGAACCGACCTTTGGGAATAAGTCCTCATCATCAGTCAGATTATAATTGTCTGGTGCACTTAATCCAAAGATGCTGCCAGGTTGACTCCTTGATTTATGATCTGAATCACATTGTAAAGGATCATCATGCCTGAAGCTAAAGGAATTCAGTAACAAAAAGCACAAATACAGGCATAGAATAGTATTCTGAGATGGATAGCATGTTGTGTAAGAGAAAAATGTGCAGGGGCATCAGAGTTATGGGATCCTTTGGTTATATAGAATTGGCAAGAAAGATACAAATTCCAACTGATTCTTTAGTCCATTATGTATTTGCCAGATATTTCCCCTTTTATCCTGTTTAAATATCTTTTTGGCTAAATTCCATTGTTTGAGCTTATGCACTCGGGAGGGAATATCAGGATTCATCTTCAGAGCGCATGGAAAGGAGGGATTCTCTATGACTGAATAGGTGAAATGCCTTGGGTTCAACTCACAGGCCCAAAAGGTAGAGTATATGATTTGGCTAGGAAATGTCACAGGTTCAAATCCATCAGTGAATACCAAATAGGCGGAGATATTCACTGGGCCAAGGGCAACCTGTCACGTAAAATATTCAACAACCAGTTTACCAGAATGAGGATCTCATTCCAAATTGCTTAATTTGTTGACCTTACATGTAAGTGTTCTGCACCCATGTGTCAAAATTTCCTTTCCAAGCTAAATGAAACAGATTTCAAAACCACATGAAAATATTTTTGTAAATTGCTCACCTAAGTCTGTAGCTTAGACTACATGAAAAAATTCCAAATGCATCAAAGATTTCACATACTAAAAAGGGACTTTATGTACAGTTAATTAGTGCGAAAGAAGGTAAAAGCCATTAGGTTAACGAACTTCACCTTCATATGCTGCAGTGCACTCAGTTTGTAATTCACAGTTTTTCACTTCATTATCAAGATCTGATTCTGATTTACAGCTTTTCTGACAGAGCAAGTTTGCCTGTGTTTTCTGATTTCTCTGCCCTTCATTTTGTGATGCAGGCCCCATACTTTCTTCAAAGGTAGGTTTATCTGAGGGAAATGGGGTCATGGTAAATGAGTCATCGGTTACATCAGTAATCTCCACATATTGTGTGGTAGTGATTATTTCATCTGCACTGAATCCAAAGGAAGCTCTGTATGCTTCTAGTTCTTCCACATCTTGCTTTGGGCTTTTTGCCTGCCTGTTCTGGTACCCATTTCCATTAGAAGGATAAACATCTGAGTCTTTGGAAACACTTAATCTACCACCAGTATAAGGAAATGGAGGATCGTGATCCAGATAGAATTGAGCAAATGTAGCAGACAGAAGAAATTCGAATCCTGAGACACCACAGCGAACCAGTTGTATCGTGCCTTGACATCCTACCAGAATTACTCCTTGAACACTTTCCATCTTTTGGAGAAACCGACGGATCCCATTGTGGAGGGAACTCCCTCTCAGGAAAGGATGACGATAAGCCATCACCTGAAGTCCTGGAAATCGGAGATCTAAGACCACTAGCTGGACTACCAGGATAAAGTAAATAAGTCGTTTGAAGGTCAGTTGCAGCGACGTAATTGGTCTTATCAGTGCCTTTCAGATCCACCGAAGATGTCAAGAACCGAGCAAAAGGGACATCGGGTGAGGAGGGAGTAGTGAGGTGTGCCAACTCGGGAGGGGGAGTAAGAGGTGCAGTAGATGGCTCAGTTGTAAAGGTTGAGAAGACAGGAGGAGAGACCAGCTGTGTCTCATGGGCATATGGTCCAGTGGCAAACATTGTGGACGAAGGACCTCCAGGTGAGTTTGCAGACAAGAAGCAACTAGGTGATTGAGCTGTTGAAGGGAGTGCTGAATTGGTGAAGGATGCTGGTGAAGAAGGGGGAGCTAGAAGAGAAGGAACTAGTGCTGTAGCTTGGTTTGGCAATCCAGCTGTTTGAGCTCCATTTGGCTGGGCAGCTGATGCATTTCCTTCCGGAATACGAGATGCAGGTACAATTCGTCTTCCACCTTTCTGTGCACCAAAACAAGACAAAGCTCCCAAACATCCTCCCCACCTCTTTCGCTGCAGGTAGTATACCATTATAAACTTCAACATGTACTTATCAACAAAAAAGCTTAAGAACCAAAAAATTGTCCCCATACCAACGCAAAGAAAAAAGAAAAAAAATAAGAAAGAGATATTTTCTCTACATATCAGTGTCGGTGTGTCCATATATATCAATTTGGCACTTAAGAGTGCAGGCCATCTTTATTATTCTACAGAACACAAACGGATTCGAGGTCTAGAAAGCATTTTAAGATGGGATCAAGCAGAAAACATAAAAGAGCTTTATGTAAAGATCACGACCCTCTTCCAAAATTAAGAAAAATAATAATGTAAAGATCATGACCCAATTCCACTTTCTCAGCAAGCTACAAGCTGTTCAACCTCTTCCGTTAAACATTGATTTATTAATTCATTCCAATATTTCAGACTACCACTATATTTTTAAGGTTTGATCTTAAGACGAAATCCCTTATGTTGCAAATTACAGACACATCTATTCTATAACTAAAAGTCTAAACTTCCAGATGATAAAACGTTCCAAACAAACGCGGGCCATAACATTTCAGAAACACATGCTACTCTAGAGATCAAAAGAGTTGTAACAAAAGGCAGACTCGTGAGTTAATTGGTCGGATCTAAATTTGCAACGCTTAAGCTAGCTAAATTTTGCTGCGATTAGAGGGGAACTCGAAAGAAAGGTATGGGATATCTATGAATGAGTAATATAAGACAAAGTCAACAGAATTTTTTTTTTAAAAAAAAAAAAAACTAGATAGATGCCGAGAAAATTGTCGCTGAGAAGAGAAAGGGTCTCCATCAGATCAGTCATACTACTACCTACCACTACCACTACACAACCAAACAAAATAAAATTGTAAAATGAAAGAGAGAGAGAAAGTTTGTGTGTGGGGAGAGAGAGAGAGAGAGAGAGAGAGAGCAGAAAGGCATAAAAGGCAAGCATTAAGTAAAGAGTGCATCTTCATATTCAGAAATTTAGAAGAAAAAAGGGGGAGTGAGATCCCCCACGGATCTGAATAAGAAGATGTGGTGCACAAAAATGGCACCCAGAAAAAAAGAAGCCAGAAAAAGATCAAGTAAACTAAATTTCCAGATCTGACTGAAAACATGCAGCAGAAACCGCCCAGTTGAAGAGATGAACCAAAATTGAAGAGAGAGAGAGAGAGAGAGAGATACCCGTTCCCGTTCTTGCTGAGGGAATCTATTCTGCTCTGACCCCATTTTCAGTCTTTCTCTGAAGCTGTTGTATCTAGCGAGAGTAATTACTAGTTAAGTCAGCAGATGAGTAAGCTTTGATTTAGCTGGTGCTACCCCAGTCTTACATTTCTATTGGCTTCTTGTTAGCGGGAGAGTGTCGTCCGTGTTTACGTAGGGAATGAGAGTTAGATTTAGAGAATGAAGAAAGAATTAGATTTGGGTTTTCATATCCAGATTCACCCACTTGCATCCACAAACAGACACCATGAAGATTTGGCTCTTCCTATGGAGGACCAAAGACAGAAACAACAACAACAACAACAACAACAAAAAAGTGAAAGAGAAAAGAGAAAGGAGAAAAAAAAAAAAAGAAAAGAGAGATGGAGACTGGGACACACCAGATTATTAACTACTACCCTCCCCTCCTCCTCCCTCCTCCACCTCCCTCCTCCTCCTAGTAGGGAATATTATAATCGATGAATATATAAATATTTATGAAAAGGAATCCGGATAAAGAAAAGAGATTTATACTTATTAATCAAAGGAGAAGGAAAGACAAAACTAAAGCGAAAAGGATTGAAATGAGATAAAGGGAGGGAGAGGGGGGGGGGGGGGGGGAAAGAGTGAGAGAAACACTTTTTCTGTATTTCCCTTTTTTTTTTTCTTTTAATTTCTTTCGTGTTTTTTTGTTTTCTTTTATTTTTATTATTTTAATTTTTGGGTAACGTGCAAAGTTTTTATAGGATTTGAAGAAAGCGAGACCAGAAGTAGGATTCGCTTCGGCTTTGTTCTCTTGTTTTATAATACAATTCTCTCTTCCTTTCTTTCTTTTTTGCCTTTCATCAGGGAAGATAAATCTCAAATATTTCTAGAATTTTAATATTATTTCAAATAAAAAGTAGAGTAAATATTATTTTCTTAATATGCAAACAATTAAATGTTATATCACGCTGCCATAATACATGTTTAAAATTTATTTTGTTATAATTCTTAAATTAAAATAATTAATGACGTCACCAAAAAGAAAGAGGCAATTCAAGAATTAGATTTGGGTCCCGAGTGTGAAACCGAACTGAGGCTGGGCCCCAAAATCAATACTCCACGAACCACAATTTCTATGGTTTTTTTTTCAATTTTCTAATTTAGAAATTAAAAATCCTTCTGTTGAATTAAAACTAAAGTAAATGAAATTTTAGTATTTTTGAGAGAGTAGGGTACGAAGCAGATTAAATCATATTCATCTACTTTTAACCAAAAAGATAACATGTGATTTTGTTCATTACATCGTGAGCATTTCACATCTCCTTTGTCTTATAAATCATAATATACAACATATTTAAAACATGTCTGGTTGCAAAAGTGTGTACATATGAAACATTACATATTTCCACTATTGTTTTTTAAAATTAAAAAAAAAAAAAAACTAAGACTAACTGCAGTATTTTTATTTTGCCATAAATATATATATATATATATGTGTGTTTATGTACGTACGAATAATGTAGTACAACGTGCTCGAGTATCTACTCTTACAATATTTTGAACCCAAATTGTTGGATAAAACTCAAGCTACTGGTAATTTACCATTTCAACACTTATACATAGGATAATAATCACATATTTTTATATGAAATGAAAGTATTACAATCTTCGACACTCAAACTACTTAATATGGCATTCATCGTAACAACAAATTATAATTCAAAATCTCACAAAGTCCATAATGGTATAAACTTTGAATTATTAAGTTAGTACATGATCTGGTACTATTTACAAAGCCCCGAGCCCAACATCACTATTCCAACTTTTATAATTCGAATTTAGATTATTAGTAATGTAAACTAATATGAAATGTAAATATTTAAATAAATCTATATAATTCAATTTTTAAGTTTAATTTAATTTAAAATATTAACAATTTTATATTTTTTAACAAAATTTAAATATATTCTCAATCCATTTAAAAATTTCTATAACTCAAATGATAAAAAAGACTAATTAATTGAAAAATATTAACCAAAAAAAGCACTTCCAAGAGTCAAAATGTTCCAATGAAACTTGACAAAAAGTGATTGTTCTAGTGAAAAAAACAAGAAAATAGAATAGTTGAAGAAAGTTTTCACAAAACATTATATATTCTCAACCCAAACACTATGACTATTGCTATTTAAAAGGGCTTAAAAATAGAAAGTAGCATGCAACATTTTACTAAGCAAACATAGAAATAACCTTTTGAAACATCACATTTGCAGGGATCATCCTTCTTTTGAGACACTCATAAATTCCTTGTTCATCACAAACACAAAAACATGATTAGAACCAATCCACATCCATCTTTCTTCAAGTAGATAAATCAATCTTAGCAATTCGTAAGAGTGATTTAAACAAAATGATGAGTATTACACCTCAAACGAGAGTTGTTACACCAGACCTTGGACAACTTGCAAAGACACCTTGAATTCAATTTTGCATAGACAAAGAGAAAGGTAAAGTAATCTTTTGTCTCCACGTTTTTTTCCCCTTGATAGATGTACATACTCACAGTGTATAATACGTAAATCCACTTCGAATTATGAGCGAACTTGAACTCTATATTGATTACTAACTTGAACTCCATACTAATGGTATGAAGGATTATATTGATTGTAGTATTATGACTATTGAATTGCTCAAGTAAAATTCAAGTGGCTCTCTCGTAGGCTGCCGGCAATGCTAATCTTAGTTTTTTTACTAGCGGTATAATATACTATTTCAACTATTTTTTCTCCTTTGTTATTGAATTTTAAATTACTTTAAGACATGTTTTGCTTCTGAATGTTTTGAGATGGATTTAACGAGAAATGAAATGAACAATGAGATAATAATTTAATAGCAGGAAAAAAATAACATAAAAATAAAGAAGATAAAACATATAGAGAAAAAAAAAATTAGATACAAGAATATTCAAAATGAAATTTCACTTTTTATTTATTTTTCAAAAGTGAGGAGTGCAAAATTATGTAATTTACCCTTTCATTTTCGGGCCCCCAGAATTTTTTCTTCTTTTCACCTAGATTTTTGTTAATTTCACTCCTTTCTTCTCTAAATTGTGCTAGATTTTCCATGTAATCAAGCATTATTCTTGATCGGCCAAATTGAAAAATATGCCCTTTGTATAACTTTTTGTACCAAATTGTATCTTATTCTTATCATTTTTGATAATGTTATGTTCTCAAAGTTATATTTTGTACAACATTAATTTAGGGAAAGGGCAGTCCCATAACTACCCCGGATATGAGGCAAGTAAGAATTGTCCCACACAAGTCCTGTAACCTCCCTACTGGCCTCTTATGATTTGGTGTTTACTACGTAAGAAAGAAGATTCGATCTTAATTTTTTTACAATGCAAATAACTTAATC